GTTGATCTCGATGGTTATCTCGATGTGGAGGTCATCTCGTCGTTTTCTTTTGGACCTGTCCATGTATTCACCCAAGTTTCATTGTTTGATTAGCCTCTCAATGACTAATTTAAGTTGTGCGCACTCCTCGGTGTTGTGCCATTTGTCCTTATGAAAACGGCAATATCGATCTGACTTCTCCCGTTTTGCATTGGGGTGCATGAGGCGTGGAGGCTCCACCAAACCCTTTTGCTCTATTACATGAAGGATTTCAATCAGGCGAGTGTTTAGCAGAGTAAATCGATTATAAAAGGAAGATGGTTGGCCTTGAGGTGGGGGTGGGGTACGTCGATCTTCTCGTCTCCTAATGTCCTGGCGATCATCTTCCCTCTTTCTCTTGGGAGGGCGTGAGTAGAGGCTTCCTCTATGCGTATGTATTTCTCGGCTCGATTCAACAACTCATCTTGATTGATAGGAGGCTTTCCGGCGATGGATTCTTTGAACCTACCCGACTTCAGGTTTTGCTGCATGATTTCTGAGAGCATATCATCTCTTACGATGGAAACTTCATGGACAACTTCCACAAAACGCCTGATGTAGTTGCGGAGTGTTTTGTTGTCTCTCTGTACGATACAGAAAAGGTGTGCAGGAGTTTTGGCGTATTGCTTGTATATGGCGAATTGGTTGGTAAAGCGCTGCGATAATCGAGAGAAGGTGATCCTGTAGGTAAAGAGTTAAACCAATTCATTTCTCTCTTGGAGAGAGTGGTGCGGAACATCTTGCACATTGCTGCATCTGTCGGGCCATACAGATCTACCACGGCCTGGAACTTCTCTATGTGTTCCTGCGGGTCAGTGGTTCCTTCGAATTGAGGTAAGCCTGATACTTTCACTCCTTGAGGCAATACCTCATTGAGGATTTCCATGGTGAAAGGACTGCGTCTTGCTGAAACTGGCGCTCTTCCGCTAATTAGGTTGTTCATTTGGGGGAAATAGTTTTGACGAGATATTCTACTATTTATCTCGTCTTCTCCTTTAATAAGTAGAGGAGATCTCCGTGGAGATGCATTACCCCGTGGGGATGAGCGATCGCGTTGCTGTCTTGGTTGTGCCCCCTGTGATTAGTGGATTGCTGCATCCGGGACCGTGGGTCCGAGGTGGATGAGGCTGTTGCGTAACAGACACGTGTACGCAGCGGGAAAAAAAAATATTATGCGATTTAAACAATTTAAAACACACAAACACATGCCCGATAATGGAAATCAATTAATTGCGTACCTTTGCGCTTCCAGCGAAATTAAAAACAACATACATGCTTAATTATTCAACCGAATTTAAATCAATTAGCATTCTCGCGTTTAAATCAAATAACATGCTCGCAACAAATAAAACGATTTCATGTAATCACATAAAATCATACAATAACGAACATGAACATTTTATTTAAACGTAAACGAATCAAGAACAATGAATTCGTGAGTTTACCTCTTGGAGCGTGAGGTAGACGCACTAAGCAAGACGGGATTGCTACGGAAACCAATCCGTACAATCCGGGGCAGCAGCGGTGGAGCGGCAGCAGCGGCAAGACGGGCCACGGCGGCACGTGTGACTCACACGCGGTCTTCGGGCGGCACGTGGGGATGCTTGCGGCTTCGGCTCGTGTACTGCTCCTCGATTCTTCGATCTTTGAGCTTCCTCCTCTCGGATTTCACGTCGTATACTTCGATCTACTAAACATGTGGCACTAGACACGTAATAGTTAGAAAAACGGAAGAAAATAAGGAAGGAAAGAACTACTGAAAGTAATCGGCCAACGAATGGCCGATTCCGGCGAGACGGCGACGGCGGTGGTGGCCGTCGGAGAGGGTGGCCGATTGAGAGAGGCAGCGGCTAGGGTTTGGGTTAGCTTTTGTGTCTTTGTGCAAGACCTATAAATCAAGTATTTATAGTGTCTTGCATAAAACCCTAACGGGCTTAAGTTGGACCGGGCCAACAGCTTAAGTTCGTTAGTTCTTTTACTTGCTCGTCTCTCTCATTTCAATGATCGGAAAATTGTAACGATTACATTTTCGGAATCATTATAATGTCCTCGTCATTACGAGTGCCAACTCTCGATTTCCAACTTTCCAAAAGTGGAAACCCTAATTCAGTGCACTTTCTAAATTTGGAAACTTCCCGATTTAGAAAGTTCACTAATACGTTTGCCTATTCGTTCCCTTTTCTTATTCTCATTCATAATTCCAAATTACGAATGTTGGACCCAAACATATTGACTTCCAATCATGCAAAGATAAACCATTTTATCTCTGACCGTTTATTCAAAGATCTCATGTGCACGAGCAGTGTGACCCTCGATGGTTCAGGTGTAAGCTAGGCGTGGGCCCACAACCCTTTGTGGTCAAAAATCGTCCCTTAGAGTTACGATTAAGATGAAGCTTGTTTCACCTTAATCACCCAACGAATCAAGATTGGCGTCTAGCAACTACGCGTCATGATTCCCTAGATACAAATGAAGTGCCTGCAAGAACCTTCAGATATAGTTAACGTACAGTACGGTCCCTTCGATGCATATGTCCCGATTGAACTAGAGGCATTGGTTCATCGAGACCTCTTTATATGTTCAATGACGGTGCGATCGTTCTAAGTGTTGTAATCGTTACGTGCATGACTTAGAGAATCGAATTCTCTAATCATCACTCAGTCAGCTCTGGCCAAAGACTTAGAATGATTACAAACTATCAGATCACACAGGACATCCAAGACTATTCTCGACTACAATGCACAGACCTCCCACTAGATTTCGGACTGCACGAACACTGGCCCTTGGGATGGTCCTCGGTGGAACTCAGAGACAGGTCACGATACAACTGGTCCTCTAGTGAAGTCACGGTGATGTCTAGGTCATAAGGACTAATGGTGTACAACTATACCATAGATATCTCTACTCGATTATTGGGAACCACTTAGAGATTTCTAAGGTGAGGGAGTTCAGTGAACTCGTCAACTTACGAGCACCCACTTATGCATGCCGATATCACAATACCGTTTACTGGTGAGATGCAGTACACATACACTAAGTGCTAGTCTCTTAATGGGAAAGGCCGATATCCTCATTGGTAACCCTTCGACTAGGAACACGTTTAACAGTTATAATACTTAAGTAAATATCTCACGATCCTAACGATCAATTACTAGTACTTGTAATAACTGTAATGACTATATCTATGCTTGTGACAAAGGGACAAAGATATAGAATGCCAAGGTGTTTTATCATTAATACGAATAAAGGTTTGTTTATTACCATAATAGATACGAAAGACCACAGCCACATGTTGGCTTGTTGGTCACCTACTCTAACAGAGGACACACTTATTCGGTGGTCGTTATTCTGGACCGGTAGCTGTGTCACGGGTGGTATCGCGGGGGAGCATTTGCTCCCATCGTGGTGATGTATTGGGCCACTGCCTCAACGGCTGCGCGAGTAGAGGCTTCTTCTATCATACGTTGGAGTGCTTCTTCGGCTAGTTGAACCGTTTAGGGAGCAGGGAGCGGTGGATCTGCGAGTGGCGGATCTTGAGGGGGATTCACTTGGACATCGCGAGGTGGATCCGGAGCACGGGGAGGAAGTGGTATGCCAGAAGCCTCCGCGCATTGGGAGGTTGTTAGTTGTGTCATTTTTTCTCCGAACGGATGACTCAGAAGCATCTTGCGCGCTATGTGATCTGGTATGCATTCCCACAGACGGTGCCAAAATGATGATGCTAAATACTTAGATCACCTAGGGTAGTGTGATAAACGAGTTGGGAGAGCAAAGCGGATCAGTAGCTTGCCAATTAGATGGTCCCTGCGAAAGTAACACACGTGAACTAAGCCGGGGGTTGAACCGGCAGAAACCCCTTCGACGCTCAAGTCAGATGTACGGATCGTGGAGATAGTAGATAGAATATGAGCTTTAAGATAATATTGAATAATGGAACATATCTCCTGAAATGAGTAAAAACCTCTATTTATATATCGTTGATCAAGTTGGGTTTACTATGTTGGGCCCAAGCCTTATATTTGAAGGTGTTTGGGCTTTCGTATAATGGGCCCAATTAATAGATGAATTGTGGGTCGAGATAATTAGGTATATCAGTAATGCTATAAAAGACTATAATTGCGCATCAATTTTTAACCATGACGGTCTATCTTAAACGGTTATATCATTGGCATTTCTCTCTAAATGATTACTATAACCTTGCCCCATAAACCATAATTCCTCATATGCAGCCCATGATATATAATTATCGCTACCACAAAGTTTGACAGTAGTAATAGTAGTAGATTATAACAAAAAAATAGGTTTATTTGAAGTAATAACTCACTCATTTTTCAAAAATCAGTAAACAGAGCTACTTTGTAGAAAAAAGAAAAAAAAAAAAAAAAAAAAAAGTGGGATAGAAATACCAACGTGGTCGAAATTGCAGAATACCACCACTGGAAGACTCGCAGGAGTCGGATGAACTCGTGGAGAAAATGCGCCGAAAACGGCGTGGGAGGGGGGCTCATGTGCCGGCGCGTGGGATTGCGGCAACAGACGTCGGAAGCGAGTAGGCGGCCAGCGCAAATTAGCGACTGACGAAGTGAATGAAGGGGGTGGTGAAGAGATGGGGCTAAGAATATGTATTTGCGAAAGAGGAAGTTTAGATTAGAGAGAAGGAGAAGAAGCCTAGGGTTTTAGCCCCAGCTTATGCCAAGTAAAGCAAAGAAAGAACATATATTCTACAAAGAAAGTATGTTTTGTATTTCCTGTGTATTACAATACCACAAATTAATGGGTGTTTAAGGTTTATACCAACTAACTAATAAATAAAAAGAAGGAAAATTCATGAAATTGATTTGGCTCTAACACTAATTACATCTATCAAATCCCTAATTTTCAGCAATTTCTAATAAAATTAAAACAATATGTATCACCTCCTTTCACATTTCAATTCATTTTAGCTGCTAAAAAGATGCATGATATAATTGCATTCCTCAAGTCGCCATCCACAAATTTCCATGAATTCATAATAATGCTCTGTATAAAGGTAGATTCTTAAAGCTGGTCGGAAAACGTGTTAAAACTCCAACCGCCGAGGCTAATGTCTTAAATACTAATGGAAACACATGCCTGTAGAAAGCTCAAGATGTTAAATACACAAAAGGTACAATACTCTTAAGGAAACTCAATCTAGAAGCACAGCCTTCATATGATACTATACTGAGACCATGAGGGCGAAAAAATCGGCAGCTATTCCTTTTCCCCCGCGAATATTACAATTAGATGTTTTTAACAAATTAGGTTTCTTCGTGAACAAGGCTTCAGCTCGACTTCACATGTCAGAAACGGACCACAGATATGCTTCTTTGTCTGTTGCTGCCTTCTCATTCGTTCTCTTAAACAAATCCTTCTCATATCCTACAAGATGAAGAAGAAAAAAAGTGTGTGCAATTATATTTCTCGTTTTCCAGCATAAATAATGCTCGGGACAGAAAAAAAAAATTCAAAATTCAAAAAAAAAAGAAAAGAAAAACTTACCAGTACTGCGATCGACACCATCCCAGTGTCTTCCTGGTCTGATCCCATAGCGGTTTGGTGCAGCTTCGAGTCCTCTTTTTATCCAGCTATGACTTGGAATATCTTGCGGGATTATGAAGCCTGATTCTTTCATCTTCTCATTATCACCTAAGTCTGGAAGAAGTTGCTCCAGATTCTTTTTCTGAAACATACACACAGAAAACAATTTACATCAGTACGAAAGAAATGGAAAACGCATATCACGACAAGAAAAAGAAAAAAAAAAAAAAACAAGCCGAATACATTTTAGTTGCATAAATAGAGTAGAGGTGATATTTTATGAATAATCATCAAAAAATAACAAGCGGATTCGATGAGAAACTTGCCTTGACTAAGTGTGCCATGGGATCACCCCATCGGACTTTTTCCTTCAGCATAGAATCGAGATCAGCATCATCCCTGCAGTAGAAATTGCAATACATGAAATGTGTTCTACATGTGAAAAGATCACACTGGATATTCTCATTAAGGGATAAAATTTCAATTTAAAAACATTGATTATCAGGTTGGACATAGAGGCTACATGAATGAAAATAAAAAAATCAGTAAAATCGCAACATAAAATATTCACCGTAAAATAAATTCATAAACGTATTGGAATTGCAACGTATGAAATGTCTCTCTAACACATAAACAGAAATGATTATCAGAGTGGACACAAAGGCAACGTGAATGAAAAAAAAAAACAGTAATATCACAACACAAAACTATTTACCATATAAGATAGATATCCCAATAATAACATTACTAAGGGCTTAAATCCAAATTAGTGCCACATGCCACACTGAGTCACTTTTTGTATTATTATACCTGCCCCGGGCAAACGGTTTGTTCTTCTCTTCTTCTATTTCTTGAAATCTAGCTTCAGCTTCGCGTTTCTGAGCCAACCCTTTGCCCCATTCCAGCTTTATCTCCTAAGGAACACACACGTATACCAATATATTATTACAGGGAAACTAAAGCAATGTAGCCTAGCTGGTATGTAGTTCGGAAATGACATCATGAAGACTTTGGAGAATAATATGGACCAGGAAGAAGAAGCAATATCTGAAAATACAGATCAACGTATTCTTGTGCAAAGCAATTACCTTTTTCAGCAACTATATGAACAAATTTGTTTAATTAAGCATTCATGTAAGACCTAAAAGTCCAATTATTAACTTGTTTCGATCTGGTTTATCCTTTAAAGAGACATATATATATATATATATCAAATTATATTGTTGTCAAAAACTGGAATACATAACTAGACGGGGAAATCTTTTATAAGGAAAAATAACTAAACCATATTAAACTCAAAAGCATGAGCAGCAGAATGTCAACTACTAGGAAGTAGGGACTTCGAGACCAATTAGCACATACATCAAGATTGATACCATATGACAATTGATGAAAACAAGTTCAGCATGGGATTTGCTTCGGTAAATGAGGCTGGTTTTTCTAGTAGAGTATCTTTGATCATATATAGGGGATCCTATTCATAACCTTTATATCGTTTGACTCGCAGGTTTAGTAATACACTAGTATCAAAGTAACATTTGAATTCCATGCCTTAATCTTACGTGCATCAATGTGTGCAGGAGTAAAAAACTAAACTTAGACTGAAAGAGACAAGGCCGAGATCCAAACTCTAAAACATACCATGTTATTATTCATTTATTCAGAATCTGAACACATCTTCCTTTATTTGTTTTTTTTTTTTGGTGAAAGCATTTTTTATTTGCTTAGACGAAGGCAGATACTTTTAGTCACAATATAGAGCTTAATATTCACAATGAGGGCACTCAGTCTGGATGATTTAATAGATAAGTGGTTTCCTTTTCTTCAAAGGTTTGAACTTTGAAAAGCTAAAACCTAGGAATTTTAAGATTTCAGATGTTTACATCCTAACAGACTCCCAACTCCATCCATTACACAAGGATGTTATGTTTCCTTTTGCCAAATTAGATGAAAAGTGAGCCAAATTACAAACAGAAAGGAAGAAAGAAAATTAGATGAAAATTGAGCCAACTTAAAGAGAACTACTGAAGCATCTTAAGTACATCAGATATAGAAAAAATGGCACCTTAGGTTTATCTTCTTTCTTCCGATCTTTCTTCTGAAACTTAAAAAATTCCTCCTTTGACATGCGTTCCCCTGGAACAGAAAACAAAGGGCACATGATGTGCTTTTGTTTGTTTGAAAATACTAAATAGAAAATGACGGAAAAATTCATACCAGTTTTTTTGTCGCGGTATGTAGGTTCAGCATTCCGGCCACTTACTGTAGAATCCATCTCTTTAAACCTGCGATATCATATTGCATTGACTTAGTTGAGCACCTCAATCAAATCAAGAAATGACATGACCATAGAATTTCAAATTTGAAAATAATAGAATGCAACAAGCTTAATTTAAGAAAGCAAATTATTTTAAATTTCAAAGAACAAATATAAACTTTAGACTATATGGCAAAAAAACCAACATTACCCACTATTACAATTCACCTCGTAATGAAACAGCTAAATTGTACAGACAGTATCAGAAAAGCAATGAACATAAGCCTAAAAATAAGATATAAAAATTCAGGACACTTTGCAGCAAATCTCATCTAGTAAAATCTTGTTAAGAGTTGAACATCCCCAAACATTTCTCATAAATGTCAACTCATTATGATAAAATAATCATTTGGTTCCAGCTGTTCAGGGTTGCGACTACTGATGATATGGGCCAATAATATTAAGCCAGCAAAAGGCGAGACATAGATATAGGATCTCAATGTGGAGATAAATGTAAAAGAAAGGTTCTAATGAACAGGGGAAAAGAGGAGCGAGAAAGGTACATGCTGAGGAAAACTAGATAGTTACCTCAACCACTCTTCCTTTTTCTTTCTATCAATTTCATCTTTGACATCTGTACCAGAAACTAAACCAGTTCTCGGGTGACGTGAAATCATTGGTGATTCTTTCCGGCTCTTCCTTGGAGGAGAAAGATCGGAAACTGAAGGTGCAGAGACAACAGAACCAGATCTGTCATTCTTGAACTTCCGAGGCGGCGAAAGATCTGCTGTCGAAGGAGCGCGCGAGTCATTTTGATATCTAGAGTCCCGACTACCACGTCGAGGAGGAGAAATATCCGAATCGGTGACCTTTGAATGTGAAGGTACTCTTCCACGTTCAGGGGATGATGCGTGCTTATCTCTTTGCTGCCTTCGAGGTGGGGACAAATCACTGGGCCTATCAGACTCCGAGGCTTCCAAATATGGCTCACGTGAAGTTTTTGTTTTTGTTTTGGATTTGTACGACTGCCGAACTGGAGACAAATCAGCACCCGCTGGAATGTCGGACCGTTGTCCAGGTTCTGGTGATGGAGTGTCATTACGAAGCCTCCTTTTACGAGGTGGAGAAATATCAGAATTCTGGTCTTCGGACTTGCTATTATTAGGGTCGTTTGACAGAGATACCCATCCACTTCCATCCTCGGAAATGGCACCAAAAGGGCGTTTAGACCTGATTAGCTCCAGCCTTCTCATACGCTTGACTTCAATATCTTCATCAACTTGAGGCTTCTCTTCATCTGCAAGGGGTTTATAACAATAAGCCGAATTCAAGAATTTTATGTACCCAAGACCAAAAGCAGAAACAAAAATATAAGTTACCTGCTGAATCTTCTTCTTCATAAACTTTGACAGGCTTTTGCCAAACGGGATCTTCATCCACTAGAAGAACTCCAGCAGCATCAGGTTTAGCCTTCTTTTTTTTCTTCTTCTTGTTATCCTTGTCATCATTACTTGTGTATTTTTTAAGGTACTCTTTAAGCGAAGTTGTCCCTGACGATGCCCCCACCATCGTGATCCTAACAGGTTCTTTTCTGAACAGTTTGAAAAGGAGTCGAGGTCTTAGTCTTACCAGTTATATGTTACGGGCCAGAGGCACTTTCTTCTTTCAAACAATGCCCAACAGAATCAAAGAACTAAAAAGGGAAAGAAAAAATCGAGCAACACACATCAGGACCAGTTAATATGACACAACAAGGTTACACTGCAAAATAGTGCCCAATAAATTCAATACATAAAATTACACTTTTTTCTGACATTCATATCAGAGCGGATAGCGGGAACCGAACCCGCATTTTTTCCTTGTTCGAGGGTTCTATCCCTCTCTTTCCGTACCTTCAGTTCTTACATTGTTTTATCAGGGGATCATGATTCAAAATTGACAGCATCAAGCAGATAATATTTAGGGTGATCTATGATATTTCCAATTAATCTACCTAATCCAGTATAACTTACTACCCAATTCTATCATGAAGCACCCGCTGCAACATAAAAAAGAATCCATCTCTTTCTTCCTTCACTAAACATGGGAAATTGCAATTTTGACTTGTAAGCAATCAAATGAAGTTTTCATTTAGCACAGCCCAAAGTTTCCAATAACCATGGAACATAAAAAACAACATCTACAGTGTCGGCCAACGCATAAAGATTCAATGCAAGTTAACCAATTTGAATTTCTGGAAATAAAGCTACAGTGCATCTAAGGGTGAGTTTGGAATTCCAATTCGAACTTCCGAATGGCGTGTATATCATAAAAAACCGTGAAAATTCTTAGCACATAAGAAAGTATAAATTGTTCTATCACATAAGAATATTTTTTTGTGATAAAAGCTGAAATGCGGGTAATCAAAAGGCTCGGCACTCTCTCGCATATAGGGTTTGATTTCACTTGAAAATTAAAAAAAAAACATGAAGATGAATAACATTAGGAAAATAGCTAAATTGAAGTTTAATTTCAGTTTCTTACAATTAGAAAGAATACGATTGAACAACTGAACTCCGTCTTTTGCTTGCTGACGGCGGGAGATGAGGGCCGGTGTGATGGCTTCGATTTAGGGTCCGACGCGTCCCTTATTTTCGACCGTGATTCAAGTGAGATGGTGGTCGGCTGGTGGTGTGGAGGCGGTGTCGGGTGGAGGGAGGCGGGCGGCGGGGAGAATGAAAGTGTGGCGGTGGCGGTGGCCGGTGGTGGGCGCTGGGAGCGAGATGAAAGGTGAGGCAGAAAAGATGATCGAGGGCTTGTTGGGGAATTTGCTTTATTTAATATCATCAAAATAAAAATTAGATAATAAATAATTAATGACAATAATACTTTAATAAAAATCAAATTTAGAAAAACATATCTCATTATTTTTTCTTCAATATCAAACATAGAAATGAGAAACCCCTAAAAACTAATCTCCCTATTTACAAACCCCTCACCTCCTCCTTCCGACTAACAAATTCTTCTAAAAAATCTCAAAACTAAATAAATCAAAATCTTGCACAACTTGCAAAATGGAGTCAAATGACCAATGTTACTAAAACCAGACCGAACCGGTCAGTCGGACCGGTTCAATAGTGACCCGGCGATGAAGTGGTTTGGTCTAACCTCTGAAACTAGGAAAATTAAAAACAGGGGTCAAATGACCAAAATTCGGTTCGACCGTGTAAAACCCGAGAATCATCGAGACAGTCAAGGAACCCGATTTTCGGCCAAAACGTCACGAACCACCGCTGAATTGGTTATTTTTTGCTAGATTTGATGAGCGAGAACCTTCACAAACTTAGTGGTAGGCCGTGGGTGGCCCGATCTATTCATGAGTGGTCGAAGGATTGCAGGATATGGTCATGGGTGATCGAATAGGGGTGCCCGATTGTCGGATTTGAAGAATAAAGAATGGGAAAATATAGAGTATAAGTAAAAGAAATAGAGTAAAAAGTAAGCAAAAGAAATAGAGTAAAAAGTGGGGTGAAGTAGATAAAATTGAAAATAAAAGGTGGGAGATTAAAATTATAAAGAAAATAGTATTTTTAAAATAAAATAATGACATACATATTAAAAAAATAAAAAATCAGTTGAACTGGTTCGACCCTATAAAACCATGACCCAAATGGTCGTCCGGTTTTATAGTCGGTCCGGTTCTGACAACATTGCAAATGGCATTAAAATGGTAGTTTACGAGCAAGGAAACCCATTAAGGTATGTATCCATGTATTTTTTTGAGCTTAAAAGTCGATTTTGAATTTTTTTTTTTAAATCCGCCATCCATTTTGGATACATATAGATCGAAAATGTGTGTGTTTTTCGACCCATATGTGTCGAATACACTAATAACAGATATTCTGCATGTCGACGGCTAACTGTCGAATTCCAACTAATTTTCGACATCAAAATGTCGAAAATTCAATGGAGTTCGGCACTAACCTGTCGAAAATTTAATGTAAAAATTAATACATATAAAAATTTAATGTATTAATTTTTACATTAAATTTTCGATAGGTGAGTGTCGAACTCCAATGAATTTTCGACAATTTGATGTCGAAAATTAATTGGAATTCGACACTTACTCGTCTAATCTTGTCTGTTACAAACTTTTATGTAACAAAATTTTCAATCTAATCCTGCCGAATCTTCTCTTCACTTTTGTGTGGATCGATTGCTCCCATGCGTTTACCACATGAGAAAAATTCACACAAAAGAAGCTTTATTGGCATGGGTTCGTGAAGTATCTAAAAGAATGGGAATGGTAATAATAATCGCGGGTTGGAGTGACGGGGAGAAAAGACGTAGGAGACTGTATATGATTGTTGGTTGTGAGCATGGGGGCCTTTATGCTGGCAGGAAGGTACTTGGTGAAGATGATCAAAGACCGGGAAAAAGGAGCACCGGTTCTAAGAAATGTAATTATCCGTTTAAATTGAAGGAGAGAAAAGAAGGCAATGAAGATGAACATGTTGAGTGGAAATTGGATGTTCACAGTGGTATTCACAACCACAACTTGTTTGAAAACTTGCAAGGACACTCTTATGTCTGAAGATTATCAAAGGAAGAGACTTCACTTATTCAAACTTTGAAGAAGTTTGTGGTGAAACCAAGGGCAATTCTAAGACTATTGAAGTAAAATGACCCGTCCAATGTAACTTGTGTGAAGACAGTTTACAATGTTATCCAACAGATAGATTTCAACGAATTATCTGGGAGATCTCAATTGCAACTATTGTTCGCCAAGTTGAAAGAAGACAAATACCTCTCTTACCATAGATCGAACGAATTTAATGAGATTGCCGACTTGTTGTGGATCCACCCGAAATGCATTAAGTTGGCACAGCCGAATCCCTACGTATTTGTCATGGATTGCACATACAAAACCAATGGTTACGGACTCCCATTTCTTGAGATTGTGGGTTTTACTTGTACCAACTTGACGTTCGCCATTGCCTTTCCATACATGGATCACAAAAAGATGGAAATTTCGAATGGACGTTGCGTTGTTTGGTGGAGGCCATGAGAAATTGTCATCGGCCTAATTGCATTGTAACAGATCAAGATTTCGCTTTAATGAAAGCAGTAGCCAATGTGTATCCATCGAGTCATCACTTGTTGTGTTGGTGGCATGTGAACAAGAATATATTGGTTAATTGTAAGAAAATATTCACAAAGGAAAATACCAAGTGGAAGCAGTTTCAGTCGGCTTTTTCAGCTCTTAATGAAATAATAGCTCTTATTGAAATAAATACTATAGAGGAGTTCAATGAGGATTGGGAGTCAATGAAAAGAACATTTGTTAGTTATCCGGCGGCTATAGCATACGTAGTTAATTCATGGTTGGATCCCCACAAGGAGAGACTTGCATCGATGTGGACAAATAAGTATACTCATTTTCGAACGTACACTTCTAGTAGTGTGGATGGGGCACATGGACGAATGAAAAGGGATGTGCGTAATTCAACTGGCACCTTTGTGGATTTGCATACGAAAATCAACAACCAAATTCTCGAACAATACGATGATATCAAAGCTTCTTTTGAAGTAAGTGAAAATACTTACCTACACACTTTCAAAACGTTGATATAAAATGAGCTTCGTGAAGATATCTCAAATTTCGCTCTACAACAACTGAAAGTTGAGGTGGACAAGGCGAAACAGTTGCAACCGAGTGATATGTGTTGTAGTTGCGCCAGCTGAACAACCCACGGTCTACCATGCTGCCATGAGCTTCATGAGTATGTTGTTGTGAGCAAATGTCCTATCCCACTTAAGTTAATAGGCCCGTACTGAAAACACATGAGTATGGAGCCTGGCACAACCACAGACGAAGTCATTCTACCAACCATTGATGAAGAAATATCAGAATACTAGAAGCTCTTTCAATCTGGCGATGTCGATGCAAAGAATCAATTGCGCAACCATTTGAAAAGATTTACCCACCGAGAGAAGACTAACCTTACGGAGCCAAGTGAAAAAAGGTTGTTAGCAAAGATCGATCGTCAAAAAATAAGAAAGACAAATCAAGCACCCATGACAAATCACATTTTGAGTATTTGGAGCCAAAGAAAAAAAAATCGAAGCAAACTATTTGTTCTCCAAGGGTAAAGGTTGCTATTATCGTCTCATTTCATTATTGTTGTTGCATTTTATAATTGTGCTAAGTAATTCTGGTTAATATACTGCAGTTGATACCTGTGAATCTATTCAAGAAACCTGTATTGAAGAGATTTAGAGTGTCTTCGAATGAGTCATATAGCACTATACCGACTCAAAAGTAAGAGAACAACACTATACCGACGCAAGAGTCGTTCAAACTATTGGTTGAAGAGTTAGATGTAGAATTCCCACTAGCTTTGATCGGTAAGAATAAGTATATTGAGACGATCCATCCACGATTTCGTATCCCTGTTCGAGAAATCATAAATGTCGGTTCAGATGGCCACTGTAGGTTTCGGACAGTTGCCTCAATGATGAATTTGGGGAAGATGAATGGGGTCGAGTACGAGATAACATGCTACGGGAGTTGACTGCTAATTTTCCCTGACATGCACTATGGTGAAGAAACCGTTAGAACCATGCAAACTGTTGTGAGTAATTGGGATGTCCCTACCACGCGTGACCATTGGATGTCTTTTCCAAATATGGGCCATGTAATTGCTTCAACATACAATATCTTGTTTGTCTACTTATCCAAGTATTAGTGTCTCATGTTCCTTCCTCTATCGAGCGATCTGGCATTCATCGACAATTGTCACTTTGTGCATGTCGTCTTGAACAACAATTGTCTAATACCTACAATCGCCGATTTTTGGTACCGATGCTATGATCCTAAAGCCGATCGATGGAAGCATTCAAAGAGTTAATAGGTCAAAATATTGCCATGCGAGATAGCGAGACAATTTCAAGATTATTATTATATCGGATAATGGTGATAGTTCTCCGAACAAAACTACCTAAAGTTATAGGGGGCCCAAAATTACATGTTTAATTTTTTTTTTTTTTTTTTTGTTATTATGCCTTGTGTCTTTTATTATAGTTTACAATTTTTAGTTTTTTAATGAAAGGAGCGCAAAATTTATTTCAATATGACATAAAACATATATTTTATTTTTTTTTTGGACTAAAAAAATAAAAATTGCTAATTATCAAAAAAATTAACAGTTAAAAATTGACAGGTAGCTGTTGATTTTTAACTGTTAGTTTTAATTTTTTGATAATTTGCAAATTTTAGTTTTTTAATGAAAGGAACTCAAAATTTATTTAAAAAATAATTAAAACAAGCAAAATACATCTAAAACAAGTAAAATCCATCTAGAACAAACATAATTCATCTTAAACAAGCAAAATCCATCTAAAACAAAAATAAAATAAAAAAACATCTAAACCAAGCAAAATTCATCTAGAACAAACAAAATTCATCTAAAACGAAAATTAAAAAAAAACATCTAAATCAAACAATATCCATCTAAAATACACAAAATTCACCTAAAACACACAATACTAATCATGTGTTTTTTTCTTCCTACTAAACACGCGTTTCACAACTTGTTGTGTTTCTTTTAAAGTAGTATGAGGAGGAGGTGGTGGTGGGACATCCGATGAGCTAGATGGAGGTGGGAGTGGGGCATCTGAGGTGCTAGGAGGAGGTGGTGGTGGGTAATCCGGCTCGATCAACGCGACGATATTATTTAGTGTCCCCCCACATGATTGTATGGGCGTCGGATGGCGCAAGTCCCCGTATCTCTCTAAGTGTACCATTCACCAACTCCAAAATTTGCAAAAGTTCTACCTCCTTTTCAGGAACACCCCCCCCCCCAAACCCCCCCGGGGGGGTTTACGGGTTTCAAGGTTAACCCCCCGGGGGCCAGGGGGGAGGG